TAAGGCGTGCTGCTTAATCGTATCGTTGTTTGGCACGTAAGAGACCAGGTATTGTTGGGTTATGATATGGAAGGCCAATCTCATTGATTGATTGATTGACATGTGTGGTGCAACGTTCCAGAACCACCATAGGATAGCCGGGATTCGATCCCGCTACCTGCGGGTCAGCAGCCCAGTACCTTAGCCACTACAGACCACCGCGGCGGGGCATCCATAGAAGGCCACTCTTGTCTGTTATAATAGCGCGCCTCTGCTCAACTCCAAAGCGAGAGCGCACTCCCACGACACATGTGCGTCTGTACGAGGCAGAGTATCCGTCAGCCACCGCTCCACCTCCGGCCGAGAGAACGGCCTTCGGTATCAAAATAGGCACACGTGGCGAACGGGAAAGGGTAAGCTGCGCGGAGGCGCTGGTGGTCGGCGCAATGCGGTACAACACACGAGCGAAAGAACATTTTGTGCGTCGTTAGTGGAGCCGCTTGCGGAGGTGCGGCCTGAAGAAACCTTTGTATACCTGCCCGGCCTCTAATGGCCGATGCGTGTACGCGCTCGCTCGGGTTTGGCTCGTGTTATTAAACGCGCCTGCGAGCTCGACGGAGGCAAAAAGGGTTGTACTCGCGTACGTTAGTTCTTCGATGCGAGGAAAGTTCGCTTGTAGGGTAAAGTTCGTTAGTAAGCCCCGCCGTGGTGGTCTAGTGGCTAAGGTACTCGGCTGCTGACCCGCAGGTCGTGGGTTCAAATCCCGGCTGCGGCGGCTGCATTTCCGATGGAGGCGGAAATGTTGTAGGCCCGTGTGCTCAGATTTGGGTGCACGTTAAAGAACCCCAGGTGGTCGAAATTCCCGGAGCCCTCCACTACGGCGTCTCTTATAATCAAATGGTGGTTTTGGGACGTTAAACCCCACAAATCAATCAATCAATCAAAGTTCGTTAGTAAGTTATAGGCGTTGCTTGACTCGCGATGTGCGAGAACCTTGTGTGCTTCTAGTTCTGTCGAAAGAAACCTCGACTTTAGTAAATAAATTACTAATTATTCATTTCTGCTACTGTAAAGTGTCGTCATTACGAGCGCTCCGATTGATATCAGTACAGCCGATCTGGATAGGCTGTACTGTACTTGCCGCTAATTGAGCTTGTGTTCTGTCTTGTAATCATGTTGTTTTCCCCCCACTGTAATGCCTTATGGCGCTGTGGGTATCAAATAAATAAATGAAAATAAATAAATATCGCATTTCCATCAGCGTGCACAGGGCTCCTCTTCAGGTGAGGAGGGGGTGAAGGTTCGTCTCTCGCAGCGTCTCCGTCCCTCTCGTGTCAATGTATGAGGCTCACTTAGCGCTCCCCTCTCTCGCCACCCTCCCCCTTCCCCTCCGTGCGCACGCCTATGCGCATTCGTACTTAGTCGAAGTAATATTTAGGATAATTGAAACTGAGACAATGCTGACGTATGGAACTGAGACAACACCGACGTGCAAGTGGAGGGATGCAAGGGAAGGTAAAAAGTGGCGTAGCGAAATGAGTCTTGTCTAGATGGACGGCAGTGTGCGGCAGGGATGGTTGTTTTCTTATTTTCGATGAGTGAAAATAAATAAATAAATTAGCGCCGCGAAGATATGAAAGTGCGTAAGCACAGGACTCCTATATCAGTCCGGCATTCTGGTCTCGTGTCTCTTACGGACGGGCTTCCGTTTTTCGTTTGTTAGTAAAAAGGGGATTCATTAGGAGTAACAACTAAACACATAAACAGACGGCGACAATGCGCACTTCTTTCGCAATTCAATGTTGCACGAGGTACTTACCTCTCAGAGGAGTCAAACGATGTTAAGGCTTCTTTAATGAAATGAATAAGGCATGAGCGAGACGGACACAGGAAGGGACGAAGGGCTGTTCTACATCTCTCTTCTTGTGTTCGTCTTGTTAACGCCTCATTCCTTCCAACTAGCTTAACAAAAAGTTATACTTGTTTGTTAATGCTCACTGTTGCGCGCATCAAGTGCAGACGCATGCGAATCAGGCATAACCTGAGAAAGTTGGCCAACTTAGGCAGCACGTTCATTTTGGTAAGCGACATATTGATTGTAAGGCAACCAGAATTGTAACACGATGGGTAACTTTTGATCGTGTCCAGGAAGAAAAGAAATAGTAAAATAGAGTACTCGGTATTCGAATCTAACCTGTTGCTCAGGTTCAAGTAAAAAAAGGAAAAAAAAAGAAAAGTTCGGTTACATTCGAGTAAATGCAGTAGCTATAACTCACAGTAACCTGTTCCTTTTTGTGCCGCCTGGGCTCCGGAAGGTCGTAATGAAATCGACGTGTTTTACGTTGATCGCGGAATTAGGTGAACAGAACAGCGCAGAACAGCGTTGACGCCGCATTAAACGCTTCCGTTCAACATTTGATACGGGCCATGCGAATAGGATGATGTCTTATAACAATACAATATACCAATGCAAGGCCACGTCTGTATGTAAATGCATTGAATCATAGGGGCAAGACACTTGTTGCCTGAATGTCTCAGTAGTGAGTATTGTTTCTCGATTAAATATTCAGTTAATGCGGCTACCTTCACCTTTTTTTTTTTCTTAGTAAAAAGCTTTGCTGCTGTGAAGGCACGTTAAGGCCACGTAGGCAAGAGGACTTTCTTATTGAACTGTCATGTCGTACTTGTATAAGACGTGCCTGCTTCTACAGGGTCGACGTAGAGAAGCACTGCATGCGCGTACGCTCATTGCGGATAGATGTTCGTGCCCATTTTGAACAAGCACGACAACATATTGTCAACCAAATTTTTACAATATTTATGTTTGAGCGCAAAAATACCACAATCTAAGTCCAACGCTTATTTTCTACATATAAAAATGTTATTTATCTTGGCCGGATATATTGACGAATATTTTGAAGTATAGTTGTTCGTTAAAATTGAATAAACGCGGTACAAACAGCTTGTCAGCTAGCGCCATCCCATGTCTGCGTGCGGACGCGCCAGCTTCGCTGCCTTGCCCGTTGAAGCGCAGATGGCGCCACCGATTCACGCCGATGATTGTTCTAGTTAGTTTTAGCCTCTGGGATTCGATTTTGTCCAGTCGCACGGTGGCATACTCGGACTCCGTGCATTCGGCCTTACATTGACGGGACTCGGCCATAGATGGCGACTCTCTCTCGTGCGTGAAAAAAGCCTCTAAAGAAACGAGAAGCTTCTAGTCGCATTTGTGTGCGTAATTTACCATGCTGCGTAGGCAGAAACATCGAGGCAATAGACTAATAGAAAAAGTTGGGGTACAACTGTGAGCAAGAAACACAGAAACACACGCTCTTTGTGTGTGTGTGTGGGGGGGGGGGGGGGGGGGGGGGCGTGATTTCAATGTGAGAGCGGGAAAGCGAAAATGGGCTAATTCAACTTGTTAAGTGACGTGGCTTTAAATGCATAATGTATCACAATATTCATGAAGAGCTAATAATTATATTCGTATTAAAAGAAGGCAAAGTGGTGTTAGACTTATGGCTTCGGCCGTCCTGTATTTTTCCTTGCCTTGCTGAAGACACCTCCTTTGTACAAAATTTCCGTGTTTAATACTTGGGCATAATGCGTGAACTATGACTAAAGAATCAGTCGTTTCGTTTTTCTCCATGGGTCGAATTTCACCTGTTCTTTTTTTCTCGTAACATTACTATGCGAACCCACTGTGCAACTTAATGGGGACAGCAAAATGAAGCTGCTCACTTGTGCATTATTTCTGAGCGGTAAATCTATCGCCATAGATCACCGTATAATCTTCCATGCTATAGCACAAAAGTTCTCTAGGGCTGCGTTGAGTAGTATCCTTTATAGTATTTTTGATCGGTAACATAAATTTCGACTTCAGCAATTACAATGAGCTGTGGCCAGTGCTCTCGCCACGGTGTGTGAGCTTGGTAGTGCCGCCCCGCTTCACCGCCCACCCCTATTTACCCCCTCAAGTGAACATTGAATATCAATTGTACGCGCGCAATGCCTGCTTGGTTCTTTAAAATGGAGCCTTAGCCGGTGGCCTTGTGGTTTCAAAGATCGCGAGCTATAGTGCCAGCTCCATAGAACATAGGCGCGCTTGCTTTGGTTTTCTCTGTGTGTCATGCGGGCCGGAATGGTGCAACCAGGAAATGAAATCTCAATGTGTGCCTCGTATGGGAAGCTTGAAAAACTTGACATGATTAAAATAATACCGACATTGTCATTATTAAACATAATATTGCCTCGCGCGATTATTTCGCTTTTGCGGTATTCTGTCTACGACTACAAAGACCGCCAGCAATGCTCAGCGCCCACGGCGCCTCACCCCCGTATTCTAGAACGTCCCTTCACTCAACGCTTCACCTTCACTTGAGAAAGCCGATGAGAGCGCCATCTCTAGGCACGGCAAGTCACTGCATATCGGCAATAATCTGCTGTGATTCTTAAGTAGGTAGTGGAGTGTCATTTTCAGCCAAGCTGTGGCGCAATGCTCAACTCTGTCAAGTGAAGGGTTGGAAGTCGAGTCGAGGAGCGTTTGTGAATACGGGGGTCAGTGTTCCAAAAGTTTCACCATTGAAGTAGATCGTTCCGTTAAGATTGCGGGCTAGGCGCGAATACTCGTGCTTATTTCGGAGCCTGCGCGACGACCAGTGATAAGGCCGGAAAATTTGATGCGTGATGTATATGAGACGGCGCGTTCCTGAATTGACCAGTTCTTCGACGGCCGGCGCTCTGCTCCCCGATATCAGTGTAGTACAGCGCGCATCGCTTGCTGTAGTTTCCCGGCCTCAAGCTTTGCCAAATAATGACGTTCGTTTCGGACACGCCGGCTCTGCCTTCGTCAGCGTCACGAACCCGTGACAATATCCAGCTCCCCCCCAAAAGTTTCTGGCTATTGCACCTGGTTATCGTACCGTAAGTCATGTTCGTGCGTGGCAGTATTTCGCTCTATCCTATATAACAAGTCTAATACAACGTGGCTTGACTAAGCATTTGTTCATCTTCCTCTGCAGGGCATTCGCAATACAGCTCTGAGGTCGTCGGTGGTGGAAAGCGCCAGTACCTGCCAGACTCGAGCATGCCCGCCTGGTGCTGCAGTACACGCCGCATCCGGGTCATCTTGGTCTGTTTCATCGCCTTCAACATTGTGATACTGCTGCTGGCCGCCGTCAACTCGGACACCGTGTCTCGCGTGCGACACGGGGGCGGCCTCTGGACCGAGCTGTGCCAACACTGCGGCAGCGGCCACGACCGCGACGCCTCGTACAGAGACATCGCCACGGACATCTTTCACTTGCCACTGCTCGAGAATGTGGACATGGGCGCGCACTACTATCCGCTCGCGTCGTCCGCCGATCCAGGTGGCAAGTGGTGCTTCCGCAAGGGAACGCTGCCGCCTGCTCACTCGGAGAATGCGGAAAGGTGCCTGTGTTCCGAGGGCTACTACGGTGCCGATTGCGGAATTCCTCAGGTGACGTTGAATACCTCGCATTTATGTTTGTATGTATGTATATGGATAGATATGTTAATCTCTTCAAGCACAGTCGACAGTAATCTTTGTTCTCTTAGGGCGCGAATGTTGGTGGTCGTCATTAGACATAAAGAGATTTCATGTTTCGCTTTTGGTTTGGTTTAGTACAGTTCGAGTAGTAACACGTCCTGCAACAGCTTTTGCAAAATCTGGAAGGAACATGGCTGCCTAAAATTGCAGTTTTTTTTTCTTCAGTGGCACGTGAGAGCATTTCTCAGCAGTTCTCATCTTCTAGTATTCCATGTCCTTGAAGAGTTTCAGTTGCGACGCACATTGTTATGAAGTGCACATTACGGTGGAATTATGAAAATTTGTATTTTAACGTATGGAGAGGGTGAAACTCAAACAGATTGCAAAAGTGCATTTCTGTTTGTTTTTGTACTTAGTACATTCATCTGTTGAAGCATTTTAGCATGCTCACTATATTTATATACGTCGAATTCAAAGTGAAGTATGGCACTCAAGCCGCAGTTCTGCCACATTGTTTCTGCAGGTCGTGTGGAATTCGAGCTTTCTTGAAGCTGGCACTAGGCAAGGGGCTTGGGTCCGGCGTCGTGTGAAACCTAGAAGACTCCTCGGCATTTTCACAGTGACTGGCCCGTTTCAGTTGGACTTCCTTAGGCTGCAGATCGCATACCTACGGCCGATAGTAGATGTGTTCGTTATTGCAGACAAAACCAACCGGCTCCTGGCTGACATAGAACGCACTTTTGGTGGTCAACAGGAGTACACTAAGATTGTGTACCTACCCCTTAACAACCGCAATAACTCAACGGCAAGAGCCGAAGACATGCTGCAGCACCTCTTTTGGAAACGCCTCTCCGACTTCCGCCTTGACGATCTGCTTGTCTGGGCAGACCTGACCACAGTGCCACTTGCAGAAGTACTTCTCTTCTTGAAACTATACGATGGTTACTCGGAGCCTGTTTACTTGAACGTTCGACAGCTCGCATACAGTTTTCTATGGGAGCAGAAGAGAGGCTCGAATTCGAGCAGCTCGAGCGAGCACAGGGAAAGCTCACAAACTCCATTTGTCTCAACCTTTGCTGTGTTGAGTGTGTTGTGCCGTTACAACTTGACTTGTGCCATGCCTCCTAAGGAGAATGCCTTTACTGCAGCACAGCTGGAAGCATTTACCAAAAACCACGGGTGGGCTATCGAGCATTGGACATTGGGAACAAGAGAAGAGCCATCTGGTTGGAATTGCAAGAACTGCGTTACCTTTTCAGACTCCTCATCCTTATTTCCTGAGAGTGCAATCAATGGTTCGATGGTGACCAATGAGCAGTGGGAAGCAACACTTTTGAACAAACTGAAAGACAATGGATTCAGTTTCAAGACTGTGCAGCCTGTTGATAAAAATGATCTCAGGTACCTTGCACCGCGAATGTTGTTGGAGAAGCCAGGATCGCTATGGTACTTGGTACCACTGCATTTGAAAACATCGCAAGTTTGATGTATGGGCCAGAGTTCCTTTTTTTTTTCTTTCATAGTTCGCTCGTTTACAGGTAGCAAATGCCTGCCGATTTAGAGATTGCTCTTGTGGATTGGGTGAAATTCATTTTATGTCACGTATTTTTCTGTGTTCCATAATATAGTGGTTTCCTGCAATATTTAACACCTAAGAGATACAGTTTGTCACTTGTGTTTGTGAAAGTGTTTTCTTTTTCTTGACGATGTAGTCAGATGCCTGGACTTCCATAGAGAGATCTGTTTGAGTGCTTAAAAGCCATTCTCGCGGCAGTGTTACCATACATTTGAACTTTAAAAAATTGGTACGCTACTTCACAGTTGACTTGTTTGTTTTGAGATGTATGCAAGCAAATATCTTCGAAACAATGTAGTTGTGATTTACTTACGAACACACTTGAGGGTGATATCTTCAGTTGGGCAGAGTCATATTTCTGCCTAAACTACGTGCCTTAAATATGTGAGAGCTAAGTGGAGTGATGCAAAGGTAATTATCTGGTCATAGAATAAGTGTCTAGTTATAGTTCTGTGCACCGGTGAAGCCAAAAATTGTTCAAGTGTGATATGTATCTCATGCGTTCACTTAGGTTTGGTTTTTTTTCCCTCGTTGTACTGGACTTATTGTGAGAGGTGATTGTTGCCTACCATTCAGTACTAGTGAATTAGAACAGCAGGGTTATATGCCAGTCCTTCCCACCAAAACATCCTTTGCATTTCATTTTTTCCAATATTGCATTATGATTGTTTTGATGGTACTGTTATGTTGTGATGCTAATATAATGGCTATGGCACTGGCAGTGTGACAGATCTATGGCATTGCTGTTGATGACTGTTTTCCAGAATTTTCAATTCTTTATCTGAAAAGCACCCGATTACTAATATTCTTGTAAGGCACTTCACTAGTTGTATAGTACATTAACCCTTTAGGATGTAAAACTGCCATCAGTTCTGTAGAGTTTTAATTTTAAGTGTTTAGTTGCACCCCCTACAAGTCTAATGCTACAATTTCCACTTGGTTATCATAGTCCGCTCACACTATTTTTATCTGTTGAATGAGTAAATCTGAGCCAATGGGGGAACGCAATAGTGAGGTAACATGGCCCTCCATAAATTCAAGGCTGCAGTTATGTCCGCATAGACCAGAGAATATTTTGAAAAGCATGACTTGTGCATTTGTTTTTCATCCTGAACCATTGATAATTTTGAGCCATTTAATCACGACTTCAGAGAACTGTTCCTAGGTCTATGTTGTCTAATTTGTCTTTTATTCATTCGTAAGTTTTCCTGTGACCGTACTTGTAAAAATCATATCTTGCTCATCAGCACTCTTATGTACATGTATGACTTGTTTTTCTGCAGAGTTTTTTTATATCGGGCTTTTATTCGCTCTTGGCAGGACTGTTGCTAGAATGAAAGCTTGTTACGCACTTGTACGGGGCAGTTCAGGTCTGTAATATATACTTTTTGGCTAGCTGTTTCTTTAAAGAGTGATTCATTGTAAAAAAACATCTAGATTAAAGCAATTGAGCTAAATGCATTTATATGAATAAACCCATGCAATTTGGTAAAAAATAATAGCTTTTGATTAACAACTTTTTGTGATAGGAGGCACTAGCATTAGGCTAGCTTGTTATAGGAAGCACAATTGTGATAGGAAGGAGACCGAGACAAATTCTAGGTTTTAGGATTGTTATTAAAGAAGTGGCATGCAAAAGTTGAATGTGTATTGCCATGTGAAAATAAGTTTGTATAACAGATCAGAAAATTGAAGACCACAACAGCTGAAAAAAAGTAAGTCCCAAAAAGTTCAAAATTAGGTTTTCTTGACCTTTGTGCTGATGTTATACCATAGAACTTAAAGGTTCGTGTTTATGGAATGCCTCGAAGGCAAGGTTTCTTAACAATGTATATGTAAGCATGGTGCCAAATATGTATTTTGGTTCCTGTTGTTAAAAAGATTGGCTGAAATTTTCGTTGTCTGTGAAATATGCAAATGACTTGTGATAGTCCTGTGCTGTTGATAGCACCCACTCAGTCTTTCCATTTTTACTGTGCAGTAACCGAAGATTTTATCTTTCGGTAGAATAGAACACAACACTTTAGGAAAAAGTTCTAGCTTGTAATTCCTTGTTCCTGCAAAGCCATTGTGCAATATTCGGCAGCACAGCAGATTTTCATCAGGCATACAGCATATCTTTAATCTAGCCAAGTGGCTGGCTTAACTCAAATTTTTCGAAGTACAAAACCTACAATTTCTGGAAGTTTTTCTTGGAGTGTTCTCATATCAAGATAATGCCTCCGCAGTTTCCTTTCATAACTTTTATTTTGAATAATTTGTTGCAGAGGACATTGTAATGGTTTTAATCGTTTCATGCTAGAAGCTGAAGCTGTGTTGTTTATGCAATGTTCGGGTGTTATTTGCTGTGCGGCTGTGAGGTTACCTTTTTCATGCTTTCTAGCACCTTTTATTTTCTTGCTACTGAAGCAGGATATACTGTAACTGGAATTTTTGAGTTTAGGTGCCTTGTAAGGATAGAATTTGAACCCTACGCTTTGTTAGCAGCTGTGTTTTTTCCAGGTTGTGAACACGCAATCCCTGCAATATAAAAACTATCTTTTGGGAGTACATATATGTCTACTAGTTACTGGCAGTCTTCCTCGAAGTACAAATGATGTTTGCACGAATTCGAGACTAAGTGTTCTGTACTGGCTGGAAAACGCTTTTGCCAATTCGTTGCCATACCCAAGCTCTTTTGAGCACAAAAAATATGGATTTCTCGTATAAGAGCTCCAATGAAATAGCGTCAAGGCCTCTGCGCCTACGCAAGACCCAAACCGCGTTAGGGTTTTGGGTTCTGGGATTTAGCGGGAGCCCAAAAGCTTGCCCCAAAAGTTTTGGGTCAGACAAACGTGACGGCACCCACTGAAGTGACGGCTCTCGGCCAAGACTATAGAGTGACGTAGAATGTCCAAGGCGCCGTAGACCTTATTCGAAAACTCTTCGCTTCTGCTTGACCCAAAGCGACCGTACGCAAAGGGCTTTAGGGACCCCAAACTTTTGGGGCGCCCTTTTCGAAATCTCCCTAATGACCCAGTTACAGTTCTGTGCGGATTGGTCAGTAATGTCCTATATATAATTTAACGAAGAAAGAGTAAAGTTTACCCTCTTAGTTGACTTCCCTTGACTTAGAAAAGTCATGGCACCGGTCTACTTTTTCGTTGCATAAGTGTACATATTCTCATGCTTGTTGACTGTATGGTGGCGGCACAGTCGGCAGTTCCAATTATAATAAGTGGATTTGGGCTTCTTTTTTTTTCCCAGAGTTGCTTGTAAGATTGCCAGGTGCGGGCTTGTAGCGTTTTTTTTTTTTCATTTGCTTTCAAGCAAACATAGGTATTTTAGTGATCAACACATTGACCAATAGCGCATTTGCCATTCCCTAATAGAGCTTTTGTTGATGACTTTCAGTAACATACATTGAGGGAATCAACATGTGACGGTAATCATGCACTACAAAACGTGCTTTCAACTGAATGTAGAATACCCTAGAGACTAAGGTGAAAAATAAATACTATTTTTCTTCAAAGTGGAGCATATTTTGCGGTACAAAACAATTTTCTCACCATCCCTTCGTATTTGAGTGGTAGTTTTTGTTACAATGAAAAAGCGGAAAACATTTGTTAAATTTGTATTTATTTTTTTGGGGGGGGAGGGGGGCTGCATTGATGACGATTGTTTACTTGTCAGCATGGTAGCATCAGACAATTTCGGATGGCAGTGACATACATAATTAAGGTTGCATTTGTCTTTGTGCTGCCGTCTTCAGTGACTCCACCTTGAGAATTTTTTCTTAGGGTTGGGTGGAAAGGTGGTATAAATTCCTTATCGGACGTATACATTTACGGTGGTACTGACCCAGTGTCGGGTTATGTGCTGAAACTAAGGAGCAATGCTAAGACAATGTCCAGTATGATGCATTCGACGTTCATTTTTACATAACGAGGGGACGGTTATTAGAATATGTCTCCAAGACTGTAGAAGTAGTACGTTACTTTCACAGGCGGACGACACGAGCCGCTCACCTAAAAGTGCGCACCCGCCCGCCTATGCAAGCTCTGCCCGCCAGACTTCAACCTTTTCTGCCCTTGACGTTGCTTTTACAGCGCGGTTTGCACTACGCATTTCAAAAAGTTGTTCAAATGGCTCTACTCTGCCCTTGTCTACCTTGTACCATTTGGTATGTTTGAGCTGCTGCAATACTTTTGAGAAGTCAGTGCGATGTAATATGTAGTGCAAAAGAAAATCCACCCCTTTTTCAAACCATTGAGATATGAGCGTTGAAGGGCTATCGTGGTGCGAATGTTTGATTAATAAATCTACAAAGAAACATCAATCGCGCGATGAGCTGGCCCTTTACTGCATAATGTTACCATCTTCTGACCATTTTAGACTTCGTGTTTTGAAGAGATTTGCCTAAAAATTTCTCCCTTTTGATACTGTGTACAAGTATCGTTATATGCATAAGTTGACGAATCCGTCGGTAAAAAAATTAGTTTGTCTATGATTCACGTAAAGACGACTACGTTTTAGGGAATATAATTGAGCTCAAACATAGTCTGTTACCGTCAAGTGAGAATGTCTTTAGGACTGCCTGGATGCTTCTTTCCTGTTGGTGCAATATCATGTTCTACGTTCCACAGAGGAAATTTCCATAAATGGTATCTAAGTGATAATGTGAGTAAAAAAAAAAGTCTGCTGGTCTTACACGTTTGCTACAGTACGTACTGTAGTTCTTTACAGCATTTGTGAACTTCAAGCTGTATTGTGCGAGCTGCTTATAGCTGTTTTCTGAGTTCACGCAATGTTTTCGCTCCGCGTCGAGCTACAGCACACCTTGACAAAAAAGTTCGTGCATCCACTCGTGCATCATGGTTCTGGACGTATATGCATGCATTATGTGCACAATTGTCAGTTGCATTGGTGGTGCCACTGCCGCCAAAGATTTTATGTACAGTGTACATGGCGCCTTGTTCACAACACACAAAAAAAAGGTTGTTTTGAAATTATTGTCTCTGCGTCTCTCATTTGTGTAACCTGCCATTTATTGGGTGTTAATGAGTGTTCAGTTTTGGTTTTGGGTCGTTGCAAGCACAAGCTAAAATTGATGCGCAGTCAGTAGCGATAAATGTCTGTGGGGAGCGAGATTTGGGAAAACGAGACGACTTGATGTGACTACGGTAGTTTTTAAGATTTTTCAAGGTCTTAACCTGTTAAAGGGAGCCCTGTCGACAAGCTTCAGAGTGTAACAAAAGCGCAACAGTATTAATTTAGTAGTGTCAAGCAGTGACTGTGATATGGCCGGCGTACAAATAAGCAGAAAGGCAGACCGACTTCGGCAATAAAAATAAGTTAAAATGACTGACTTTTAAGCAAATTATTACTGCTCGGTGATGGCTACAAGAACAGCGTGCCCAAGCGGTGGCTGACAGACCGCTCACTATGGATGCGGCGATCCCTTATCTATATTTGTTATGATTCGTAACACATTCGGGCATCAGGCTGATGTGCGGATACACTAAATCACATGCGATGATGTTGTTGAAGTGTATAAAGAACGCGAGGAGATATTCCAGCCCCTTTCTTTCTCAAGGTATTATTTCCCCTCCGTGAAAAAAAAAAACAATAAAAGCACCGATTCGATGCTGAAAGGACACGCTAGATACAGTGTGAGAAAATGGCTACTTTGTAATAAGAGCAAGTCGATGAAGATATCTCTTAAAGGGCTAGCGCCCCAAAAGTTTACTGCGGTGCATGCACCACGTGGACTATTTCACGTAGCGGGCGTCATCGTTTTGGTTGTGCCACTTCATAGGAACAAGTACACACACACAGGAAATACACTTTCGTGGTTTGTATACACTTTTAACTGAACGTCTGTCCATTTCGCTGTTGTGCGTCTCAAGTTTATCTTTGCGACTTGCCGTGACGGCGCAACCAAGCCTACCGCAATGTCGTGCTAACACGAGAGCGAAAGCTTTGCTCCTCCAGGTACAACCCTGGCAAATGGATTTCTGCCTGCATTTGACCTTGACGTTCAGACGTCAATTTCATCTACGTACGTGCGTAGTCATAGCAACAGACTTGCCCCATGTCGGTTTGGTCTCTCTCTTGCACCGATATCCTTCTGTGAGGCTCGGCTCCGCGGTTACCAGGAACTCGTATCCTTCCTTCGCTTCGCACAGATTCATAGCCTTCTGTTGTTCTCTATCCCTCTCTTCTACTCTGCGACCGCTCATAGTGAGCAATACATAGCCATCAAAAATGCACAGCATATCCACGGAGTAAATGATGGGGGAGCGAAGCGTTTGTCCGTGTGTTCATCCATGCATCCGTTTGTCCGTCCGTAGACGAGCCCGAGCCACCGTGGCCCTACGCGCCCGCCCCACCGCTTCGTCCACGCCTTTCCAACAATCCGACACGTACGACGACAAGCCAGGAGACTGAGAGAGGCACTCGTTCCCCGCGTACCCCGGCACAGCCCGTGTAGCAGCCGATCGGAGAGTAGCTGTACAGTGCCATCTGGAATATTCTCACTCAACTGCAGTTTGTAGTACTTTTATGAGTCAGTGCCGTCTATTATACTGTTCGGGAGATGCTACCGGTTACGCATGATGTGGGACAAAGCTAGACTGAGAGGAGCTTCGCTCCTACAAAAATAGCAGAAAAGGCTGTAAGTGTATCTGCTGAAACTGCGCAGTGCTTGATGTTCGTGTATACTACTACTGGCCGTAAATGTTGGCTAGGGCGCCCGCCTTATATGCACAATCGATCATGTGTACAGGTGGTACTTATTCTCTGCGGAGGCGTAGAATTTCACTGTGGACATTTCAATTTTATTGATATGATTTGTTATTACAATACACATCTTGGGTAGATGCAGCTATGCGTTGCAGCCACCCGTGATTCTATTATAACGACAAAGGAGGAAGTCACGTCAGCCCGACTTGTGATGTACGTCGGGCTCCACACAACTGTCTTGCACCGCCACTCTGTGAGTCGACTAGCCCCGCCTTTGACAGCCATGAATGTTTCCAACGTGATGTGCACATAAAGACGAATGGGGCTTTTATCGCAACCGTACGAGGGACAACATTGTACCATAAAAGTGCCTCTTACAAGATGGAAAGTGCAGGAAAGCCGACACTACGCGTTTCTACATTTCGCTATTTCATCTTGATTTTTTTTTGTCGCATGCTACATTTTCCTCCGCTTCTGCTTCAGCCACATAGAACGCCTTCTGCGAGCTCTGTATACGCGGTCCTCGTGGAGGAGCTTGCCAGATTAGCGCGCCTGCTGTCCACTTAATCCCCAGCGGCCGAAAGCACGTCGGCAAATATGTACGAGTGTACGCTATATTTCGTTGTGACCATTTGTTTTCTCACATTGAGGGCCCTTCGTACTCGTGCATGCGTGTTTGCTCTTAGTTTGCGCGTGCCAACAGAGCGGCCTTAGTGGTTGCTGCGTTTCTGCGACTTGGTATATTAGGAATCCGACTCCTTGCGTCGCTAGCGCCTTTCCTGTTGGGATGTAAGAACGTCTGCTAAGCGATGGTTAACGCTGAAGGGCCCAAAACTAGTTACCAGTCAAA